TTTTGTTTTTCCCTCTCTCTCTCTCTCTATTTCGACAACCAAATTTTTCCCGCCTTTTTTTTTATTTTTACCCTCCTGCCTCGTTATTTTTCGTTTTTAAATTTTTATTGTATGATTAATATCTCTCTCTCTCTCTCTCTCTGTCTGTCTGTCTTTCTCCCTCTCTCTCTCTCTGTTTGTCTGTCTTTCTCCCTCTCTCTCTCTCTCTCTCTCTGTTTGTCTGTCTTTCTCCCTCTCTCTCTCTCTCTCTGTCTGTCTTTCTCCCTCCCTCTCTCTCTCTGTGTCTGTCTTTCTCCCTCTCTCTCTCTCTCTCTCTCTCTCTCTGTCTGTCTTTCTCTCTCCCTCTCTCTCTCTCTCTCTTCTCCCCCCCCCTCTCTCTCTGATTTATTACGCGTATGTAAAGATTTGTAAAACGTAAAAAAAAATTTTTTCTTTTTTAAAAACATTTTGAACGAAAAACAAACGAAACAAAAAAATTACAATTACGTGCCTTTCCTACTCGATTGATGATGATGATGATAATGATGATGATGATAATAATAATAAAACGTCAATTAATTAAATCTCATTTTTAAAAAAAAATACGTAAGAATGATTAAGTATTAGTAGTAGTAAGAAGTTCACATATTTTTTTTTTCCGTGAACTTTATTATCGAATCAGGTGCGACCAGGAACAAAACCTGGTTCACCATATATTTATAAATAAACATTTTTATTATCCGCAAAAAAAAAAATAAATAAATAAATAATTAAATAAAATTTTTTCCACTTTTGTCGAGTTGTTTGACGTGACTCCAACACGGTAACAACAACAACAACAACCACAACCACAAACGGGAATCGTCTATCAGTCATGTTAACGAGTATGAACCGTGCGTACCAACAACTATTTTTCACCGGTAAGTAAGTTTTTATTTAATTACACGTATTATTTTTCTACGTACACGTCCATTTTTTTTCTGTCTTCGATTACAATCGATATTGATCGATTTGTTTTGTTTTTTTTTTCGGGCGGCGGTTTAACGAAATAAGTATAAATAATAATAATAAAATCTTAAATTTTTTTTTCGATTCGAAATATCGATTAATCGATCGATCGATCGATTTATTACGGGATTTAATAAACCGGGGTAAAAACAAAGAAAAAAATTTTTTTTCCCTTGTTTATAAAAGAAAAAACAAATCGATGTATCGATCGATGTATCGATCGCAAAATATTTCGCAATCGGTAAAAATTTTTTTTTTTTGTTTTTAAAATTGAATAAAATTAAAACAACATCCGGTTGTAAAAAAAAAAAAAAAAAAAAAAAAAAAAAAAAACGAGCCAGTGGATCACCTTCAAAATCTTACATCCAATAATAATAATGATAATAATAATGATAATAATATACAGTTACGTAAATTTTCTTTTTAAAAAAACTGAATTTTCACTAGGATTCCTGCACCTATTTTTTTTTTCGCGAGAAAATTATTATTCACGCGACAATAAAAATTTTCAAACGATTTATCATTATCCTTATTTCGACCCTGCACTCTCTCTCTCTCTCTCTCTCTTTTCCCCTTCGTTAATTGGAGCAATTGCTTTACGCGGAGTTGATTTCCTTAAAATGTCACACCCTCCCTCGGGTAGTGCTTTTCCTCGACTCGGTTTCATTTTTTTTAAAATTGTGAACTCGCGCGAGACCCCCCCGCGTTCAGAACCGTATTAAAGGTCACGCAAGAGATATACGATATCAACGGTCAATCGACGACACCCCCCTTTCCCCTCCCCCTTCCCCATTTCGACATATTATATTTTCTTTGATTTTTTTTTTTTTTTGTTGCAGTTTTGGCAATAGCGATAATAATTAAATGTAATAATGCTCAATCGTCGGCATCGAACGATATAATATGGTATCCGGTAGACGAAGAAGATGGCGTTTTCATATCGATTTACGGTGAAAAACAAAGAACGAATTGGCAAAATAATAATAATAATAATAATCGAGAAGCCAAATATAATGTTCTACGTGATTTATTAAACGAACCGGTCGGTTATAGAGACGGACGAGTCATATCCACAGGTTGGAATCCTTCGAAAATACGTTCGAAACGTCAAACGTTTTTCGGAAAATTTATACAACAGGGACATCCATTCGTCGACAATTTTCACAACAACAGAGTTTTTAATTTTTTAAATAATAATAATAATAACGTTCCGAGACGACAAAATCACGAACAATATTCCGAACAAAATCAATATCGGGATAATGTTTTTAATAATTTAAATGATAATACTAGGTATACGATTGGTAATGATATTCCAAGAAATTTTCAATCATCGTCAAATTTACAACAACAACAACCAAATTGGATAAATAACAATCGTTTTACTAATAATAATAATAATAATAATAATCAAAACGAAATATATCCGACGACGTCGAATAATTTTGGAACTTTTGGATCTTTCCAGACGAATAAACCTTCTAATAATTTTGGATTTTCTCAACCCATCAGACCGAACAACAATTTTAATTCTTTCCAGAACACAAACGAACAAAATAATTTTCAATCGTTTCAAACAAACAGACCCAATAGATTCGAGTTGTTTCAAGGAAATAGACCGACAAACAATTTCGATAATTTTTCCACCTTCAATAGACCCCACAACAACAACAACAACAACAATTTCGCGAGACCTAATTACCCTAACGAATTTAATAATAATAATAATAATAATTTTAACAACAGACCAGTTCAATCGCAATTTAACAGACCTACGCAAGATAATTTAGTTTTTCCGGGAGAAAGCACACGTGACACGACAACACAAATGACGACGACGACGACGACGACAGAAAGAGGAACGTTGACACCGTGTGAAAGAATGTGTCCCGTAACTCCCGAATTTAATCCCGTTTGCGGTTCGGATTATTCTACTTATAGCAACATGGGAAGGCTTAAATGCGCTCAATATTGCGGGAAAAGTAAGTTTTTAAAAAAATTACCGAAAAACGTCCATTTTGATTTTTGCAATAACAATTACCGTCATTTTAACATTTTCTTATCATTATCATTATTATTTTTTTTCTTCTTCCACTTTTTTTTTTTTTTTTCACGGCCTACATATAAATTACCCTTCTTTTCATTTTGTAAATTATAAAAAATTACAATTAATCACGTTTTTCTAAAAAAAATTTGATACCATTTTTAATTTGAAAACGTGATCCGGAATTAAATAAGAAAAGAGAAAAAAAAAGTTTTCTTATGAAATTAATTCCATGTAAATCAACAACGATTAAAATTTTCTCTTAAGAAAAAAAAAAAAAAAAATTTACAACCCAAACTAATCCCATAATTCACAAGTAAAAAAAAAAAGGTTGCGTTTGTTCCCGTTTGTTCCCTTTCACCCCTACCCCCTCCTCCCCCCCCCGGCAATTAACGGTTAATATCATCATTTTCGCAAAAGGGTAATTTTTTTTTTTTTAAACAATTTCCCTCTTGTTATCATTATCATTATTTCGACGTATTAAAAAAGTTTTTTTTTTTTACCTTGTCAAGTCGACAAATCATGTTCCCCGAGGATTGATATTCCCGTAGGAAAAAAAAAAATATCCGAGTGACGATCATTAAAGAAATACAAAATTCTTCGTTCTTCGTCATCTGTAAAAAAAAAAATTAAAAAATTTGAAAAAAAACCGCGAAATCTCTCCCTCTTCCCCTTCCCCTTCCCCTCCCTCCTCTCTCTGACGATGACCCCGATTGACCCGATGATGTTATTATATTCCTACTTAAAAAAAAAAAAAACTTGTTTTGCTTTGACGACGTGCTGCCATTGTTTTTTAAAACCATCTTTAATAATATCCGATTAAAAAATTTAATAAATGTTTTTGTTTGTGTCAGTTTCGTTTACCTTGAAATTTTAATTTGTTTATGTTTTTTTATGTTTTTTTTTTTGTTTCTTGTTTGTTTATGTTTTTTTATTGTTTTTTCTCTTTTCCTTACAGGCGTGACTTTGTTTCATTATGGTAGATGTAGAGGAATGAGAGCCGTCACAGCGGATACGAAAACAACAACGACAAAAAAACCAAATCCAGCACCGATAAAGTTCCTTAATTTTTCTTTTTAAATTATTATTATTATTATTATTATTATTATTATTATTATTATCATCGATATTATTATTTTTTTTTTTTTCTTAATAAAAATTCTTTAAAAAAATTTGAAAAATTTATTATTTAAATCCATAGGGAGAGGGAAGAGGGAGGGGAAAAAGGAAAATTTGTTTCTTTTTTTTCCCCAAACGAAATAAAAAATTTCCCTTTTTTTAAAATTTTAAATTTTCCCGCGAAAACGTCGTGGCATTTGCAAACGGATTTTAAATTTAAAACCTTTTTTTTTTTTTTTTTTTTGTTAAAGTTAATTTATTAAGAGATTTTGTAATAAATTTTAATTTTTCTATTTACCCGATAAGTTTAATGATATGATTGATTGTAGAAAAAAAAACGGAAACGGAAGATGTGATTTTATTTCGTGACGTCATCCATTAATATTTATAACAAATATTATTTCATCATCATCATCGTCGTCGTCGTCGTCGTCGTCGTCGAACCTGAGTCGTTTTTTTTTTGTGCCTGAAAAAAAAAAAAAAAATTAATTGTCATTAATCGAAAACGATAATAATTAATTGATTTTTGATTGCATACAAACAGACACTTCAAAATTATCACATCGTTAAAATGACGAAATACATTAATAATAATAATAATAATAATAACGGATGCGATAAATGCAAAAAAAAAAGTTTCTCTCTCTCTCTCTCTCTTTTCTCCGAATAGGAAATTTACCGGAAAACTTTCCTTTTTGAAATGGAAACTTTTTGTTTATTTTTTTTTTCGAAAAAAATATTTTTTACGGTCGGCGGCACGCGAACGTCTATTGACACGAGTGTTAAAGTATACGACAACAACAACAACAAACAACAACAACAATCAAAAAAAAAAACTAATCGTAATCGTATTGAACTCGACGTTTTGGGTTGTGAACTTTGACAAAATTTTCAACTTTTATTTCGAAAAAAAAAAATATTTCCGACTTTCCCCCCCGCCCCCCCAAAAAAAAAATGCGTGCGCGTGACGTAATCGATTTTACCATTATTATTGTTATTATTATTATTATTATTATTAGGATGCAAAAACAATCGCGAATCTTCTACTGAAAACCCATAATAAACATCAACGTTTTGTATTTACTTTTTTTTTTGACGTTTTCATACTCTATGAAATTTAATTTTTATTCCTCGTACCCCTTCCCCTTCTCCTCTTCTTCCTACTACTCCCTTTGACGCCATTTTTAATTTAATTCCGTTTAATTTATTCGTTTAAAAAAAAAAAAAAAAAAAAAAAAAAAACATTTGTCTTTTTCTACCATTCAATCAAAAATGACATTTTACACTCATCAATTATTAAAAGTAATAATAATAATGATGATGATGATGATCATCATCATTATTATTATTATTTAAAAATGACATTTTCGAGGCCGTGAAATCGATTAAATCGAATTTTTCGATACGCAAAAACAACAAAAAAAAAAAAAAAAAAAATTAATATTTTACACGTTGTAAAAAAACAATCGGGGTAAATGAAACGATGATGATTCCCTTTTTCCATAAATTTTATTATCATTATCATTATTATTATTATTATTATATTCGATGACCGAATGAAAATAATTAATGATTCATTCGTTTGAATAAAAAATAAATAATAATAATAAATCGTTAGGGGAAAATTTTTTTCTTTTTTTCCCCATGTTTCGATCACGTTCCTATTTATTTATTTTATTTTAATTTTATTAAAGGGAATGTTCTAGAAATTATTGAAACATGTTCAAATACGAGTAATACTCACGATTATTAATCCAAATTTTAATTTCCTCCTTGAAATAAAAAAAAAAAAAAAGAAATTTTCAGGAAAATTCATTTTTTTATGTCGTGTCACGCCGCCATTTTTTCTTTTTTGTTTTTTGTTTTTCTTACTCTTTTTAATATTTTTCTTTTGTTATTATTATCCAAATCCGATTTCCCCCCCCCCTCTTTCTTTTCTTAATTAAAACGACTCTAATAAAACAAACAAATAATAATAATAATAATAATTAGAAACGTGAAACATTTGGTACAATTTAAGAAGATTTTCTTTTATCACTTTCATTATTATTATTGTCATGTTTAAATTAAAAAAAAAAAAAAAAAAAAACATTGTTGGATGATTATATAAAAATAATAATAATAATAATAATAATAAAACGTAATGATAATAAATATTACCAGATGATAAAATTTTAAATAATAATAATAATAAAATAATGAGAAAACATAAAAAAAAAAATGTTTTGTGACATTTTTTTATTTTTCGACAGATGGTAAAATTAAATTTATTCATAATGACGTCATTAAATTATATAAAAATTATTATGATAAAATGATGATGATAATTTTTTTTTAATATTTTAATTGTTTCTGATCATGGTGATGGTGATGATGATGATTACAATGATTACCTCAATAAAATTGAAGAAAAAAAAAAAAAAAACAATTTTACCACTTACTTAAGAAAATTTTTTTCCCCTTCCTTTTTCTATACAATGTTATTGTTGTAAATCTTGTTTGTTGTTTGTTTGTTCCTATAATTAAAAAATAAAACAATTAATTAAATTATTTCTGTTGTTAATAAATTATCATTAATTAATTGATTAATCATATTAATTTCATTATAAATTTCATAGAATTAATAAAAATGTTGGATATTCTTAAAACAACAACTCGAACAACAACAACAAAAACAACATAAAATCGAACAAACAACAATCGAATACATATGTATGTGTTTGCTATACAAATAATTTGAAATTTAGATAATTTGGGTAAAAAAAAAAAAAAACAATTCGAATAAATTTATACACAATTGAAAATTAAATTTGTGTATTAAATATTTAAATGATAAGTTTAATAATTTAAATTATTTTAATTTCTTTTCAATATATTTACTTACATGTTTTTGTTTAACATAACAAAACAACTTTTCGATAAAAGGTATCTGTTAATACAATGTCGACAAACATTTCATGTTGTTTCTGTTTAAATAAATCATCATCATCATCATCAACATCATCATCATACGATTCTTTGGTAACAAATTAACAAATGATTAAAATTTTATAATAATAATAATTTTTCTATTTGTATTTCATTCATTATAACTGAAACAAAACAAAACAAAAAAGATTGTTAATTATTAAAAATTAATACCTGTTGTTGTGAAAAACAACTTGTTAAGTAATTGACAAAATTTTTTTCTTATGTTTAATTATTTAATTATTACTAACCTTAAAACTGTAACGGTTTTTACCCAAATAAGTTTTTCACATGTTCGAATTTTATATATTTTTAATTTCTTCACGATTAAATCCATGAAAAAAATTGATATTGATAATCTACAAATAAGTAATTCATATTTAAAAAAAAAAAAAACGTTGGCGTCACATAACGATCACGTTGCATTCGTTACACATTCCAAAACGTTGAAATTCAAAACAACCGAGTCCGCCATTTTACATAGATAAAAAAAAACTCGATTTTAATTTCGATTAATCGAAAAAAACGATTCTCGCGCGCCAATTTTTTTTTTTAAACGAATAAATCAATTTAACGACTTATGCGTTTAATAATAATAATAGGAACGAATTAAACGATTTCATACAAAAAATTTATATCGATTAGTTGTTGTATAAATAATATCGATGATATCTCGTTCGAGATTATTTGATGACGTAATAAATAAATTTATTGCTATTTTAAGATTTGTGTGTGTGGGTTTTTAAAATGACTTACAAAACGAATATCGTTATAATTAATAATCATTGATCTGTGTATTCAACTGATTAGTCTCTATCGAGAAGTCCTCTAAGGTTTTACACAGTATTAATAATAATAATAATAATAATAATAATAATCGAATCGTTTTTTTTTTTGACCGTTAAATAAATAAATAAATAAAAATGTCGTTTTTATAAAAGTGATTTCGAGTTTTATGTTTGTTAAAAATCGAAAAAAAAAGAAAAAAAATTTTTTTTTTTCATAAATAATAATAATAATAATAATAATAAAACTGGATAAATTTTAATTTCGGTTGGTCTGTTGTGTGAAATTTTTTCTAAAATGTTTTCGTGCTCGAAAAACAAAAAAAAAAATTAATAATAATGATATTTTCACGTTAAAAAAAAAAAACAAAAACCTTCGTTTTATCCCCTTCCTCCCCTCCACTCTTTCCCACTTCCTCCCCCCTTAAAATGTCCCCCCCGCCGCGATAATCAATTTCGCGAATTTAAATGCAAAAAAAAAAATTTAATTCATTTATTATCATTATCATTATCATCATCGTCATCGTCATCGCCGTCATCATCATTATTATTATTATTATTATTTGATTTTTTTGTATGAAAAAAAAAAAAAAAAAATTTATTTTTAATATGAAACCATTTCACCATTTTGCATTAATTTTAAACGACTTCCGGTTAATAATAATAATAATAATCGTGTCTTTAAAATATTTGAATCCCGTTTTAAAAATAAACGAAATTCGATAACCTTACGATGAACCTTTAGAGAGAGAGAGAGAAAATACAAAGAAAACGAACAATTTTAATAATAATAATAATGATAATGATAATAATGATAATGATGATAGGAAACATTTTTTAAATCATTTTAATCAATTCAATAAATTTTTTTTCTTTTCATTTTGTTTTTGTTTTTCTTATTATTATTATTATTATTATTTAATATTAATAATAAAAAAAATGCGTGCGTCACAGATAATAATAATAATAATAAGCAACAGTGCAAAAGATAATAATAATAATAATAATAATAATAATTTACGGTATTCGTATAGAACGTGGAGTGAATCATTTTGTTGTGACATTTAAAAAAAAAAATTATTATTAGCGAACGGATTTTAAATTACGAATAAGGAATTCGTGGCGTTCGTTCTTTCTTATATCAGTAACGGGGTGAACGTCGAACGGCGGCGAAACAAACAAACAAACAAACGACAACCGTTTCAATTTATCTACATCAACAGGACATTTGCGACACATCAAAAAAACAAAAGAAAAAAAAATTCGCGATAGTAATAATAATAATAATAATAATAATAATAATAATAATAATAATATTGGATAAAACAACGACAGCGACGACGACGTAGTATTAAAAAAAAAAAAAAAAAAATGAAGGCTTTGTTATTGTTTTTGTTTGTGGCGTTCGGTGAGTTGTTTGTTGTTCCTGTTGTCGTTTGTTTGTTATAAAAATAAACGCGCTTTTTATTCCCTCGGGAAAATTATTATCCGAACGGTGAACAAGTGGCGAACGAAAAAAAATTCAACAAGGAAAAAAAAAAAAAACGCAGATTTTTATTATTATTATTATTATTATTATTATTAATAATTTTTATGAGGTCGACGAAAAACGACCTTTGAACGGTCGGTCGGTCGACTTGAATTTTGTGTTGTGCGTGTGCGTGTGCGTTTCAAGTCCGTTACAACAAAAAAAAAAAAAAATTTTTTTTTTAAATTGAACTGCGTTAATTGATACCCTTTCGGTTCAAATAAAAAAAAAAAAAATTTTTTTGTCGTCGTCGCCTTGAGGGAACGGTTTAATAATAATAATAATGATGATAATGATGATGATGATGAAAAAATGAAGATTCGCCCGTTCGGATAATGATAATTTTTCCTACCTTCCGGTCACGCGTTCGTTAAAATTTTATAATTAAAAAAAAACAATTAAATAATAATAATAATGATAATACTTACAGGTGTGGCTGTTGTGACCGTTGTCACGTGTGCACCATCCGACGGTAGAGAAAAATTTGTCGCCATTGCTTGCAGTCATTTGTGCCCCGACGAAAATCATCCGGTTTGCGCTGTCGACGCTCAGGGATTACCCAAAACGTTTGCCAATAGGTGTTTCGTCGATTTTGCATACTGTCGAGAAGGGAAATGTATGTAGCGTGACGTCATTATTATCATTATCATCACTACCGTCACGGCGTAACGCGTGTCGAATGGGAAAAGTTTGTTTTCCCCCCGATAACTCCTCCTCCTTCTTCCCGAAGTGTATCCTTCTTTCCGGAACGTTTGATCGTACCTAACAAAAGTGTTGACGTGATAATAATAATAATAATAAATTCCATAATTTTTTTTTTTTTGACGTCATCACTTACGTTTCACTTACCTTTTTTTTCGTATTTAAATCATTTCCGGTTTTCCGAAACGATTTCCCCCTTCCCCCCACCCATCTTTCTTTTGTCAACTTTGATATATTTATTTATCGAATGAGATTTTGCCTTGTGTTTTCCATTTATAATCATTATTATTATTATTATTATTATTATGATTATTATCATTATCATTATCATCGTCGTCATCTTTATCAATTTGCAATAGGGGTCAAGGATTTAATAGAAAAATTTGACCCTGTTACGGTTATTCACATGGAACGAAATATCGGAAACCCTTCGATTTTTTTCTTTTTTCTTTTTGTTTGTTTGCTTGTTTGTTTGTTTGTTTGTTTGTTCGTCCCCTCGTTTGTTTACCTATTCGAAAACACAAAAAATTTGATTATGTTTAACACTCGCAAAAATTAATAACAAACGATAAGCCGGGGAAAAAGGAACCATCGACGCAGGGGTACCAACCGCAAAAAAATTTCATCCACCACATCCACCTTCCGGCTTTTCTTTTCTTTTCTCTTATCACGTGACTAACTTAACTTTTTCCCAACGTTCAAAATCGGATGATGATGATGATGATGATAATAATGATAATTTTTTTAAAATTTACAGATTACGTAATCATGAAGGACGGTGAATGCTGATGATGTCGACGCGGTACAAACAACAAACAATCAACATATATGTATGTGTGTATATATGTATATATATATATGCAAAATTTATAACCGTCAGAACCGTATTCCAGGAGAATATCAAACCTGATGAACGATGACAGGGAATGAAAAACCGTTAAAAAACATCGAATTATGTACATACAAATACATACGTATATATATATACATATAAATAAATAAATAAATTGTATTCAACTGTATAAATAAATAAATAATTAATTAAATATTATCCGTGTAAGAATTTTTCATTTTTTTTTTACCTCGACTTGTGACGTCATTTGGCGCGTAAAGTTGTGATGCGACGACGACGACATATTTAAAAATTTTTTAACGAACTTTCGTTCGAATTATTAAATTTTTTGTGTCTAAAACCACGTTTCACATTTCCGTTAGGTAGAATATTCTTTTGAGTAAACTTTTTTCGATAAATTTCTTTCTTTCTCCACTTCCTCAACGTTCATTTTCAACGGAAATTTTTTGAAATTTTTCTTTTCATAAAAAAACAAAATGTCGTCCGAACCGTTAAAAAATATAAACACTACCGACACCTATCGGAAAAAAATGAAAACCAATTTCCTTATATTACCTTTTTTATGGAGAAATCCATTTTCTCTTCACTTTTTCGTGATTTTTTTTCGACTTGAAAGGAAAAAAAATTTTAAAAATATTAAATTTTATGTTTTTCTTGTTGTTTTTATTATTATTATTATTATTATTATTAACCGTTACAGAAAAAAAAACAAAAAGAAACAAATAATTTCGAGTGTTGTATTGTATTTATCGCGTATTGTTGCTGCATAATTTATAATAATAATAATAATCAAGCAAAAATCATCATTGCCCGAAAACAAAAAAAAAACAACAATATATACGCATTACTATTAAATAATAATAACAATTATCATCATTATTATTATTATTCAAACAAACGAAAAAAAATTCAATCAATTAATTAAAATCAACTCTAATTATAATTAAAAAAAAAAAAAAAAAAACACCTTTGAATCACCTACACTCACTTAATTATTAATTACGTACATATGTATAGATATATATATATATATTTAACTATTTATAAAAATATTTACACGTAATTATTATCATTATTTTTTTGTATTTTTACAAAGCCGTTTCTATAACGGAAATAAAGGAAAAAACATATTTGAAGAAAAATAAAAAAAAAGATGGCGGCGATACGACTGGAATGATTATATCGGATTTTACCTCATTTTTAACGGCAGTGATTAAAAAAAAATCGAGTACCTTATTTAATAATAATGATAATAATAATCCTTAGGGAAAAATCGATAAGAAATAATCGAATCGAATCGAAATCGAAACGATGATTGACGGTTGTTCAGTAACGGCGGGAATGTTAATAAAAAAAAAAAAAAAAAAAAAGAAAAATGCTTTCGAATCAATCGTACGAATGAGGAATGAATCGCGAATCGGAAATGGAAAAAAAAAATACAAGTCAAAAAGAAACCGGAAGTCACATACCGCCTGAAAATCCCCAGAAGGGGGTGGAGAAAGAGGAGGAATCGAATCGTGTGAAAATCTCGAAAGAAATCGTTTGATAACAATCGATAATCGACCGACGAGTATAAAGATAGATAGATGGAAAATTTTCCGTTTACGAACCGCATTTATTTACTCTATGAAATAAATCGAAAAATCAATTTAAACGACGATTTCTTTCGCGGTGCCTAACGAACGACAAACAAGCGCCAAAATAAAAAAGCCTACGAGAGAAAAAATTGCGTGCGAGAAACGAGGGAGGGGAAGTCACAGAGTAAATAAACTCCATTCGACGTCACCTCTTCCAACGTCTCAACAATCGTAATAATAATAACAATAATAATAATAAAAAAAAAAGTAAATAAATAATTTGGATTTCGCTTACTCAATCATGGGGAAAAAATTTTTTCACAGCCTTTTCGCAAAAAAAACAAACAAACAAACAAACATCGCGCGCGACGTTTTTCCCTTTTTTTCCCTCTCGTTTTTTCCACCGCCGCTTCTTATATCGTATTTCGTTCGTTCGGCCATCAAATATAAAAATCATTACTTTTCTTTCTTTCTTTCTTTTCTGTTTACGCTAAACTAACCAAAACAAACAAACAAACAAACAAACAAATTAAATTAAAAATTAAATTAAAAATTAAAAAAAAAAAAAAAAAAAAAAAAAAAAGAAAGGTAAAAAAAATTAATTAATTAAAACGTGCTAAAAAAAAAAAAAAGAAACATTTAAAAAATTATCGTTTCGCCACCTGACGACCCACGCGACGAGACACAAAAGTGGCAGAAGAATCGTCGGACGCCACGTCGAACAATTGCATTTTAAATCGTCTTTGTAATAGACTGCGGTTCGGGGTGGAAACGAATCTGGTTTGCACCATTCTCCGATTTCTTCGAGTTCCTCCTGAAGGAAAATTGGGGGGAAAAAAAAAAATTATTATTATTATTACTTCAAGGTGTTTGCCTTTCGTACGTCGATGACGACTCACTTTGCACAATTCGTCGCACGGTGGACACACCAAAACTCCCTTGTGAAGCCAACCGTTTGATTTTATCCTTATGTTGAGCTCTTGTCCGGCTCTGTAACACGTGTAACTGTAATTTGCCACGACGATGTGCAACCTTCCCGCTTGACAGTAATACTCGTAACAACCGCTACCCCAGTGTTGCCACTGACGAACCTGACGACACGATTTTTCCTCCCACATTTGATTCGCATTATCGAAACATTTTGATTTTTCCCCATATTTTTCCAATGCGAAATTCTTTTCAGGTTCTTTGACAAAAAAACAAAAATAAGTTAAGTAAAGGACGACGAGTAAAGGTCAGTTGATGAAAAGAAATCCCGTGTGAAAAAAAAAAAAAAATGGCGTCGTCGTCGTCGTCACCGCCATGTGTATTGAAATTTTTTTGGTCACGTGTTCACTTACGTGGATTATTTTCGAAATATTTGCAGTGGGATCCTCTCACGGCTATATTATTCGATCTCCATGTGAATTCTTGCGTGTAGGGACAATAATCCGCGAGTGATACGGAACCCCCGTAATGCGCGATGTTCCCTGACGGCACGTGAGGTAACACGTCGAAATGTTGGTAAACCTGCGGAAGTTTGTTCGCGTGCGGTACCAAATTGCAAAGGGAAACGGACGAACGATCTTCCGTGCATTCCGTTTCCAACGGATCCTGTTTGACTTTGTTACAAAACGGATATATCGATTTTTTCCTGCGAAACAAAAAAAAAAATAAAAATAAAAAAATAAGGACACGACAAACGACAAACGACGGGGAGGGGGAGGGAGAGGGCCGTAACCAAACCAACGTACATTTTACGATGTTTGTCCATCCATTCCTTACAACTCCTCATTGCAAAATCGCATCCTAAATTTTTACCCCAGCTCAACGGTTGCGCCATGCTGTAATTGGCCTTGTACCATCCGGTATCTTCCATCAATGCCAAAGTTATTCTCGAATATACTGGATTTTGTGTGTGTGTTCCAGTCATCGCTTCGTTCTAAATTCCCCCCGAAAAAAAAGAGAAAGAAAAAGTTCCATCATTCATTTCATCAGACAAAATCCACAACTTTTATTATTATTATCATTATCATTATTTACTTCGAAAACTCGTTTTTCCCAATGAGTGAGAGCGGTGCCATCTTCTCCTTGATCTTCCAATTCGGCTCCTTCCAAAAGCGAACAATTGAAATGATTTCTTACTTCTTCCACGACTCTCGGAGTGACCAAAACGCGAAATTCACGTTTGACCGTTCCTCCGTGTACGAGCCAATCGTTTCTTACGATTTTACGAATCACTTTATCGCTCCACTGACGAGTTTGGAGCCTGAAAAGAGAGAGAGAGAGAGTGAGAGATAGAAAGAGATGGAAAACAAAAAAAATTATATCATTATCAAACGAGAATGGAGTGCTGCTCGTGGTAGAAAGTTGTCGAGCTGACGCGTATATACCAAAAAAAAAAAAATCCGGTTTGCGCGAGTTCATCTTGCATCTCGCTCTAGAAGCCGACTCGTAACACTACTAAACCGGTAAATAATAATAATGATAATAATAAAATTTGTGACGTAACGCCAATAATAATAATGATAATCTTTTTTTTTAAATTCTTAGTTTCCCCTTTCCTCCCCGACCGGAGCCTTTCGTTCGTATTCTTCTCCTCCTCCTCCTCCTCCTCCTCCTACTACTACTTTTATCATCATCCTTTCGACACTCACTTTTCATCCAGCAAAGGTTTTCCATTTTCACCTCTCGGCGTGAGGGGTTTACCATTTTCGTCTCTGTAAAAAGCGTATAAGCTAACGGAAAATCCGAGGGCGTGTAGTATTTCGTGTTTGACCGTTGACAACAGTATTTCCAATTCTTGCGGTTTTGTACTTATGCTATCGGGGCAAAGGTTAGCGTGACCTTTAGAAAGAAAAAAAAAAAACATTTCAATTTTACGTAACTTTAACTCGCGACGACGCAGGCACGCAGGCACTTTGTCAGGTACAAAAATTTTTTTTTTTTGCGTTTCTTGCCTGCTATCGGCCTATCCAAAGCTCCCTCTTGTTGACAATGAGCGGCGTAGGCCACGGTCATTCCCCTGTAACATCTTTCCGTTTGCATGGCCGATACGTAGAAGACAAAATCGGCTCCGTCGATTCCCGGACCTGGTTCCGCGCTATCCGCTCTGCAATCTTGACCTGTGTCGTTACAAGTTCTGCATACCTGTTACCATGTAAATTACGCATTTTATTATTATTAGCTTATTATTAAAATTAATCTCGAGAAAGAAAAACTCACGCAAAAAAAAAAAAAAAAAAAAAATGTTAATTGAAAATTTTCAACGTCACAACTTGACTTTTAATGATAATAATAATAATAATAATAATAATAATAATACTACTTGCTTCTAAATGTTGTTCAGGTACGACCGCTTCACCGCACATCGTTTCTTCTTCGCATGCATTTTTACAATACGGATGAGGATCTCCTCGACGGTAAAATACTTGATTATTTAAACATTTTCTAAAAAATTTAAATCAATTTAATGAAGAAAATTTCCAACCGAGGGTTGGTCAAAAACAAAAAATCAAAATGGCGTCTTCTCACCTATTGAGTCTAATTATTTTATCAGTCTTGCGTACCATTAACGCCTGTTCCCAAAAATGAACGGCTTCAGGCAATATTGTATTCTGGAAAGAAAAAAAAGAAAAAAGTAAAAATACAACCGAAATCTTATATACTGTTATTTATATCTATTCATTTTTCGATACAGTAATAATAATAATGATAATAATAACAACGATTTCGATAATAATTAGAGAGTAATTAAAAAAAAAAAAAAAAAACTATGTGTTATGTCACTATGCGAAATGTGTGCCGCCGTTTTTTCCACCCGATCCGACTATAACTTGATTTCTTACGTTTACGCACATGACATCACATTTGGAACGCCATTTTACTCTCGGCGATTAATCAATTATTATTATTATTAATAATAAAATATTAAGTAAAAATTTAGCGCTCAAACGTCAACGTTCCCATTCGGTGCGTTTATCGTCCTTGCTCGCGTTTTCGAATTCATCTACATAAAAACAAATCATCATCATCATCACTACCACCATCACTACCACCACAACCATCATCATCATCACCATCATCATCACCATCACCACCATCATCATCATCTCTACCACAACCATCATCATCATCAACACCAACAGCCCCATCATCATCTTCATCCTTACCATCATCACCACCACCACCATCATCATCATCATCATCCTTACCATCATCATCATCATCATCATCATCACTACCATCACCGTCACCACCATCATCATCATCATCATCTTTACCATCATCATCATCATCATCATCACTACCATCACCGTCACCACCATCACCATCACCATCACCATCACCACCACCACCACCACCAACACCATCATCCCCATCACCATCATCATCACCATTACCGCCATTATCGATCGACAACGATTTTATTAATCGCCATCAAAAATTAAAAAAAAATTATTTTCTTCGCTTCGAGTTACATAAAAAACGATAATGTCGATTATATTAATAATAATAATAAAATTAATGGCTACTGTGATAATGATAATAATAATAAAAACCTCATCCGTCGTCAATAAAAGTTATACAATTAAATTATAATATTTATATTAAAAAAAAATTATCGACTTGATGACTTAAACCCACGTGTAACTAGAAAATCATCATCATCATCATTAACAAAAGTAACTTCCGCCTGTTAAATGTTTGTTTGTTTATTTTACATCATTGTCGTCACCGTCGTTCTTCTTCTTCTTTTCTTCTTTTCTTTTTGTTTAAATAAAAATAAAAAATAAAAAAGTTACGATTTGATATTTGTCGACATTTTTCACGTCCGACATATTTCATTCGTTCGCAAACATGATGATGATGATGAAAATGAAATCAAAAAAAGCTTTCAAACGCTTTTACAACAAACAAATGTTTTCCCTTTTAATTGTTAACGTTAACGTCGGTAATAATAATAATAATAAAACACGCGGAAACGTCTGAAAACTTTTCTCGAAAAAATTAAATATTTCAAACGGCGAAAAGAAAAAATTTCAAACGGCGCCAAAATTTTATTTTATTTATTCCCGTTTGAAAGTTTTCGAGAAAAAAAAAAAAAAGGAAAAGTGTCGGGACGTGGAAGGAGAAAGGGGAAGAAGAGAGAAAACCGTTACGAAAATGTTTGACGATGAGAAACGATTTAAAATTTTTCTTCGTATCTCCACGAGGAAAGAAAAAAATGAAAAAAAAAAAAAAATGAAAGTTCGATTGTTTGCTCGTTTGTTTGTTTGTTTGTTTGTTTTCACGGTTATTAAATTAAAAACGACAAAAGGTCTTGAAAAGGTTTCTCAAATTTTTCACGGTTTCAACAAAATTTTTGTTTGTCGAATTAAAAACAAATAAATAAATAAAAACGAATGTAAATAATTTGTTTTAAAAAAAAAAATTTTTTCCACTTTTTTTGGTTTCGAACCAACGATTTTTTTTCACGTCAGTCAATCAGTCAGTCATTCACGGTCACCGAAGACGAAAAAAAAACGGCGGCGGCGGCGGGGGGAACGGGGGGAAGGGAGGAAACAGGAACGACGTAGGAGATCAAATATTAAACAAACTTTTTTTTTCCATAGAGGAAGCGTACTTTTATAACATATGCCCCGAAGTCATAGAGTAAAAAAAAATCATCGCGTGACTTTCAATATTTATTCACTCGCACGGATACAACGAAATATGCGCGCGCAAAAAAAAACAAAAAATTTATTATTTTTAAAAAATAATTAAATAATAATAATAATAATAATAATAATAACAATAATAATAAACAATATGGCGTCCGTCGATCGATAAGGACCGTTATACAATAATTCGTAATAATCTCGCAATTGCTCACGTTAATTTTTAATTTTTTTCCACGAGAGAAATCCCCGCTTCTCGATATGCAATTTTTTTTTTTTTCATTCGAAATTTCTTAATAATAATAATAATAAAATGATTTTTTTATTTACTCTATGACCAGGAATAGAATTTATTCTCTATGAGATTGGAAAAATTTTCGATTAACATAGAGTAACTTTTAAAAGGGGAAAAGCTTCGTTTTCGCGGCGAGATATTGCGAGATTCATCATCTCTAAGATTTTTATTATTATTATTTTTTTTCGTAACGCGGAAGAGGAACCGTTCGAATTTTATTATCATTATCATTATCATTATTATTATTATTATTAATTGATTTTTAATTACGTAATCGTCGTTCGTAAAAAAAAAAAAAAAAAAAAAAAAAAAAAAATTAATATTCCGAGTCTTCTTTTTTTGAAAGGGTTTCCTCCTTTTATGGGACCCATCCGTTTCGAATCAACCTCGCGTGAATTTTCTTTTTCGTGGAAATAGATAAAATTTCACCGACAACGAAATTCCTTTTTTTTTTAAATTTTAGCCAAAGGAAAAAGAAAATGATGATGATGATGATGATGGAATAATTCCTTGTAACCTTTGATCCTTTGAAACGTTTGCAAAAAAAAAAACACCGGAATTAACGCCAAAAAAAAGTCGTAATAATGATAATAATAATAATAACGATTGATTTAACGAACGTCGTGTCATTATAACAAACAACAAAATTCCTTTCGAACAAATTGAATAAACAAACGAGTTGAAAAACCAAAAAAAATAACCGAAATTACATTTTTCATTCGCGTTAATTACTTAATTACTTAATTAATTAAAAAACGGGTACGTTAAAAGTCGGGTAATACATATTCAGAATACGTTGCTTTTCTTCTGCCACGGCAATTTTTCATTTCTTTACCCAGAAAATAAAAAATCATCGAGCACATCCATATGTAAACAAAGTAATTAAAAATTATTTATTAATACGAGCAATTAACCTTTCATTCCAAGTCGGGGCGGTGGCGCGTGCGCGTGCGGGGGGGGGGGGGAAATTCCTGGAAAAAAGTAAAACGGGGAGAGAAAGGGAAAAGGGGGGTTAATAAAGGTCAAAATAAGAATAATAATAATAATCCCCGTAATATTAATAATAATAATAAATAAAATAAAACTTTTCGTTTTATTTTCTCGACTTGCAAACGATAAATAAAAAGGTAATCGTAAGATGAACTTTTTTTCACATTCGTTAAATATGTGCGAACCAGTTCTTTTTTTTTTCACTCATGCGTTTTTTTATTTTTTATATTTTCCGTTCGAACAAAAAATTTAAATTAAAAAGAGCGGGCGGGGAGAGGGGGAGGGGGCGGAGGAGGGAAGAAAAAACCGTTAAAACTTTTCACTACGCGAATATTTCCTTCGAATTTACATATTTAAATGTTGGAAAAGTTATTCGGAAAAATCTGCTTTTTTTTTCTTTTTGTGTAAGAGCGGGCGGGGGGAGGGAGTGTGAAAGAAGGGGGAGGAGGATCGAAAATTTAAACGTCGGATTTAACGAAATAATAATAATAATAATAATAATAAAATTGTTTCTCGTTTTATTTTCTACCTTTTTTTGAAAATTGTCGTCGAAGAAAAACACACAAAATTCTCCCGGAAAAATCAAAATGGCGGATAAATTCATATTCTTATTTTTGAACGACAAAAATGTCTTTTGTATTTAATCTCATTTAATAAAATTTTCCCGATAAATATTATTTGAAAGGAATCGAATACGAAAATCTCATTTTCCCTCCGACATTTTCTTTTTTCTTTCTAAATTTTGGCGCCGATGGAATTTTCCTTTTTTTTTTTTTAAACTTCCGACTGATTTCCCGCTTTCCGCTTCCTTCCTTCCTTCCGTTCTACTTTTTTCCCTCTTCTCGACCTTCGAATCCTATAATCAAATTTTGTTTGTTTCGCTTTCTTTTCGAATTTTTGACAAAGTTTTCTTCCCATCATTTTTCATATCATCGCTTTGCATGAAAAATCACGATTTGTCAACGCTTCGCCGCTATTTTTCTTTTTATTTTATTAATCTTAATCATCGTCATCGTCATTATTTATTCGTTCGGAACGGATTTTTTCCACGCTTTTGCGATCACCTCTCTTAAATTTCATTTTCCGCCTTAGAATTTTCTAGAAACAAAAGCACGCGGATGTTGTTCGATCACATTCTTCGATCGAAATGATGTGACGTCATTTATTGTCATTAAAAAAAATTTTTTTTTTTGTTTTCGGGCGGTCGAACGGTAATTACCATTTACAATACGAAAAGTACATAATAACATCGATCAACAACAACAAAAAAAGAGAAAATGTAGAAAAATTTCAAGGTCGAGTTACGTACAAACGTACAAACGTAAAAACATACAAACAAACGTTTTTTTCCAAACAGGATTCGAGTAAGTTTTCCAACGTCAAAAAACTTACATAGCGATTTTTCCATCGCGACGATTTACGACGTCACGAAAATCGTACAAACCGCCTGCCACGCGCGACCATCCGACCAACACAACCAAACAACCAACTTGACAATTTTTATTATTATTATTATTATTTTGAATTCGAAAACGTTACGTAATTAACGTGAAACACCACAAGGCAATTTCATTATTGTTTTCCCGTCGGAATCCGAATACAATTTTCCCGATTCTACTACAGCGATGGGACAAACAAACAAACAAACAAATTAAAGATAATAATAATAATAATAATAAAAACAACCGAATGCAGGGCGAATTCGCACCACTCATCGACGCCCTTACGATGTAATATATAATAAAAATAATAAAAAAAAAAAAATTAGAACAACAAACGAAAACCGGGTTGTTTAACGAGTTTGATGATGACAAGACAAACGAGTAGTCTTGGACCAAATATCTACTGCTATATTCATTTGCAAACAAACGTCAATAATGACGGTAGCAAAAATTTTCAAAAAAAAAAAAATAATAATAATAATTTTTTTTTTTCGTTTGTTGTCCTTAAGGCGAATCAACTTTTAGTTCACCGTACGATATTAATAATAATAATAATAATAATAATAATCGTGTGCGTGTACTTACGTTAATTAATTCGAATTTTTCCTCGTCCAATCTGTAACAAATTAATAAAAAAATATAAAATTAATTAATTAATTAATAAATAAATGAAAGAAACGTAAAAATAAATAAATTAATTAAATAACGGCTCGTGACGTGACAAAAATGTCAAGTTGAACAAACGAGGTTTTCTCGTACTCGAGGAGAAAAGACGAGAATGGAAAAGAGACAGAGAGAGAGAGAGAAAGAGAGAGAGAGAGAGAGAGAAGAAAAGAAGAGGGTACACGAAACAAATACAAAGACAAAAAAAAGTTTTCTTTTCATTTTACGTCAACGACAGCCACAACGACAACAACAACAATAACAACAACAATGACAACATCAACGACAACAACAACAACAACAAAACGCGTCAGATTCTACGTCGCCATTTTAAAAAAAAAAGTTTTTCACGAATCTCCCGTTCGATTTATTCATTTATTATTATTATTATTATTATTATTATTATTATTATTATTATTATTATTATTATTATTATTATTATTATTATTATGAATCAAAAACGCGGATTCAACGTGAAACCTCTTTCATTTCCTTCCTTTACCATCCCTCCCTCCTTTCTTTCTTTCTTTTTCGTCTGATAACAAACGTATCCCATTCGATTACGTAAAAAAAAAAAAAAAAAAAAAAAAAAAAAAAAAAAAAAAAAAAGGAAAAAGGAAAAAGGAATAAGGAAAGGAAAAGCTCCAGCATCCATTTTTTTTTTCAAATTTCCGTAATGACTCCCGCTTGTTTGTTGTTTGTTTGCTAACAAATTTATTTATTTAATTTTTTTAGAATAAAAAAAAAAAAAAAAAAAAACTCGTTTGTGGCAAATTAATTATTGTCACACGAAAAACACGGCCCGAAAAAGCAACGTTGCTTATAATAATAATAATAATAATAACAACAAATAACAAATACCTACAACATTAACAACAAATTTAATAAATAAATAAAAATGACGTCATAAATCAAAACAAAAAATTTTCAACTTTTTTTTTTTTAAATTAAATTTCTCGCTTTCGAAAAACGTTTTCTCGAATAAAATATCTTTTGTGCGTGTGCGTGCGTGCGTGTGTGTGCGTGTCGAAGTGCATTTATTTACTTTGATGACGCGATTTCCAAAAACAAACAAACAAACAAACAACAATTATTCGGTTTCGATTTTATTTATGCGAATAAACTAGGCTGCCGATAATGCATTTATTTATTTATTTATTTATAAACAAACAAACAAACAAAACTAATTAAAATTTAATACTTTGCGACGACTATGACGACGACAACGACAACGACGGCTAATTAATTTTCGATTTTGTAACGAACGTGACTACGTGGTTGGTGCCACGACGAACTCATAAAGTATTTAAAAAACATTATTTTATCATAGAGCGACAATTCCCTTCTCTTCTCCCTCTTCAATGTAATTTCGATGTAGTGGCCGCAACAACAACAACAAACCAACAACAGAAATTTCTAGAATAAAAAAAAAAAAAAAAAACGACAATCTCACCTGAAAAATAATACACTTTCACGAAAAATTTTGACTTTTCACCTTAAAAACAATGAAAACGAAAAAAAAAAGAGCTTTTCCTATAATTTTCAACTTTGACCTTTTTACGTTTTATCGCGTTTTTTTCATTATTATTATTATTATTATTATTTTTCAACTCGTACAAACTTAAAATTCCTTTAACGGTTTTTTCTTTTTTTTTTTTTTTTTTTCTACACCTTTGAAGGTTATATATTTATATACATATACGTCGAGAACATAAATTTTGCACATCTCGTGCGAAATAAAAAAAAAATCAC